CTTGAATTCTTACCGATGGTTTTGTATTGTTTTCTTCTTTCAAATCCATAGAAGCATAATTATTCATTCTAATCCCAAAGCGACGTCAAAGTAAATTTAAGCTTCCATCCATTCCTCTTCTTCATAAAAATTGTTTACTTCAAACGTTGGCATGTGTATGAGGAGGGACGATTAAAGATCATCCAATTTTTTCTCCATCGATGGTCTTCTTTATCTTTGTCTTAGGATTTGAATTTGAAAGCTTCATTGGATTACTCTCTCCAAACTTCCCTCTCCAACCCATGTTCATCTCTACGACCAGGACTAGAGTTCCCACGTGTAGAAAGCCACATAATTGTTAAATGACTAATTGATCATCATGCCAAGTATGCAAGCGACTATGATGACTAACATGAACTGAAATTGCTTCATAACAACACCTTCGGGTCTGGAAACATGGACAAGATCATTACGTTTATGATAAATCCGTATTTAAGATTGGTTTAGGTTTCAGAGGATTAGCTATTACTCCAAAGAGGAGAAAGCAATCATTTTCGTCCAGTTCTAGAGGAAAGGAATCTCAAATCTGGTTTTGATTATATTCTAGAGAAACGCAAGTTTGGTGATCTTCATGGTTTATTGTTCATGTTCTCTGTGAGTACTCTTATCTTCTTCTCTATTTTTATCATGAGCTAAAGCATTAATACTTACCTTTATTTACATAATTAGCAAAAAGTTAATACTTACCTTCACTTCAGTTTCTTCTTAATCAAAAGACAAACCTGATTTGTTTTTTTTACATATTAAGAAGTATAATCTCCCAATATTTTGAGCTAATTGGAATACTAGACGAGTGGTATAACTGAACTGTTCTTAAAGGTTAATTTGTATAGAAATCAAACAATTCAAAATGGCGAGGGTTCTATTAGGAAAATAGTGTAAGCTTTATAGTGTTTCCAAGTATGCAAAACATCGGTACAATCATCCATAACATCGGTACTCCAAATTACGTTTGACCCAATACTTCACAAATTTTTTTTATTGAATCATAATTTAGTTCATTACTTCATAAAAATTAAATAATGTTAGTCCAATCTTCTCAAGTCATATAATATTAAAGAATAGAATATAGTGGTAAAAAAAGATTAATAGATTAATAAATCAAATGAAGGAGTTACGAACTAAAATGTACTAAAAGTTGTAAGAGAAAAGTTTTTTTTTTTTGGTCTAAATGTTAAAATTGTAAGAGAAAAGTTCAAAGAATTTTTTTTATTGATGATGTTTTGAGAGAAAAATATGACAGCAATGAAAAAATTGTAAGAGAAGAGTTCAAAATTTTTTTTTATTAAATTTAACCCGTTTGCACACAACACACAAACCATCAATATTTTCATTTATCTCAAACAATCAATTTCAAACCAAACACTTGCGAACTCAATTATCTTTTAAGGAAAAATTAAAAGGAGGTGTTGATGATGTTGTTGTTAGTTCAAAAACAAGTTTCTAGGAAAATAATAAAATCACCAAATATCACTTATCAAAACTAAAATTTTTGTAAGTTGATCAAAACATTTTAAAGAAAATAAAATCGCTATTAAAACATAATAAAAAAATGAGTGAATTAGGTGAATGGCAAAACTTTGCCTACTTATTAGGAAACCAACAAAGAGAATATAACCATTAAGTAAGTAGCAAAAGGGTACCGACCAAATTATCTATTCCACGCATACACATACGCGGTTTGTATCTCCTGCGCATGGGGGAACGAGGCAGAAGTGACCGAATAACGGTGTGATGCAAGCTAAGGGACAAGTAGGTGGTTGGAATAAATGAAGCATAACACATTGAAGACCATTACTGTGTCTCGGGCCGGAGATATATGTGTTGGGCAAAGCCCTATCTTTAAGGCCCCAATAAATAGGATGGCAGTTCCGCAAGATTTGTAGACCGGTACAACAAAGAGTATAAAGAAAAGAAAGAGATTTGGAGAAACAAACAGTTGTGCGTGTTCATCATATCCTGTAAACAAGTAACGATAATATGCACATCTATGTGAAAACTTAATCTGTAATATACAAATATAGTTAACTAACAATTTTCATAAATGATTTTTTGCAGGTTAAACATCAATGGTAACCCTTAGCGATATACTCAGCGATCTCGTTCGGGTGGAACAAGGATGGTTGAGAAACTAGATGGGTGTGAAAGTTTGTACGCTTTGAAGAACGATTGAGCAAAGGGATAAAAATTCGTGAGGGAGAAGGAGTAGAGGCAGTTCGGTCAAAGGTGATAAGGGAGCTGCGAATCAATGATAAAGAAGAGAACATCGAGCTTACATATGAGATGCCATAGTGGATGGACAACGACGAAAAGGTCAAACCAGTCCCGATTCATATCCGCGATAACGTGGACATGGATATGTTTCTGGCAATGCGTGTAGATTTGCACGAGCTGAAGTTATATGTAGTCCCACTTCCAAAACACATGACTCTCCAAATAGATGACTTCAGCGTCATCCCGGTGAACCATGGTTTTGCATATGCCGAGTTGGTTAAGGGTGATGGGAAGGAAAGTAGTGGAAGTGTTGAGAGAGTTCAGTCACCAGCCGGCAACATCGTCCTCACATAGCCGGAGCCAGGAAAAGGAGATACAAGAAAAGGGAAGTCCATTGCTTGGCTAGGGGACGCTCACCATGGAGGAGATAGTGGAGCTCTATCTTCGGGTTTGAAGCGGTACAAATCGTTATGCGGTGATACTAGTGAAAGTAGATCTTTAGACATTCTCGTCGATTCACAAGATGAGTCAGACACTGGTGGCAGCAGTAGAGGCCCGACAAGGAACCTAGTCTTAAGCATTGGAAGAACAGGTGAAGCAAAAACAAAATTTAAACTTGTTGAAATGATTTTTACGCAGTAAGTAATATAATACCGGTCTACGTTTACACCTAAAGCGTTATGTATAAATAGAGTTATCTTTATAAATCGTTGGACAACTAACAAATTATACGGATATCTAAAAACTAATTTAGGGTTGAAAATTGAAATATAACAATCTAACAATTTAAATGCCTATTTACATAACAAGTACAAGTGGCTTAAATATATTTAGATATTAACATTGTTGACATGAATATTTTATAATTTTATTTAACAAAGTTCATCATCCACGTGTATTCAGATCCGGGAACAAAAGACTTCCCGAGTCAATGGTACCAGCAAGGTGACAATATAACAACAGTTGACCTGCCAATAATGGATCTACCGGCATTCGTATTTGGGAGGGATGCAGCCCCAGTCGTAGATGACCTCGAACCAGAAGGTATGCAATATAGATGTGTATATACTCTCATGGTCAGATATCCAACACTTTGGACCTCTACAAACGAAAATAGTTATCTGACAAAATATTTTTGAAACTCTATTTTTAACAGGGTTAAGGAAGACAATGAATGTGGTATTC